CACATCATCTCACACTGTGGCCGAATGTGAGAGCCCTGGGGCTGAGCACCCGGGCTCAGAGCCTGACACACTGAGTCACTGCTCCCCCAGTGCTTCAGTTACTCCATCTGTGAAATGGAGCTGTCCCATAGGTAGAATGATGCCTGGCCCAGAGTAAGCACTAATTGTAAGTGTTGGCTAGCACATGTATTTCCTTTGGTTTCCACCTGGATGCTGAGGTAGGTAACACAGGCCAGAGACTAGAGGGTGTACTCAAAACCAGTAGGTGATGGGAACCGAGTGCTCCTTCCTGCCACTTACAGCCAAGGAATGGCTTGGTGCTCAGATCTCTGTGTCAGCCAGGCAGGGAGCAGATTATCAGCTCAGGCTTCCTGGAGCAGCACTGCCTCAAGCTGATCCAGGACCAGCACTATCAGCATCAGCCGGGAGCCAGTCAGGTACGCAGATTCTCAGGCCCACACCAGACTTGTCCAATCAGAATTCCGATCAGAATTCCTGGGACTAGGGTCCAGGAGGGAGCTCTGGTAGCATAGTGGCTAAGACACTTGCCTGCTAACCAGACGGCTGGCGGTTCAAACCCACCAGCCACTCCTCGGAAGGAAGGTTGGGCAATCCTACTTCCGTAGTGATACTGCCTCGGAAACCCAAGGAGGGGTCGCTATGAGTCGGGGCCGACTCGACGGCACATAACAACAACAACAACAACAGGGTCCAGGAATCAAGTGTTTTATCCAGCTGTTTGGGTCACTCTCATGCTGTAAAGTTTAATAAACATTATCAGAGGCACCCTGTGGTGCAATGGTTAAGCGCTTGACTGCTAACCAAAAAGCTGGAGGTTTGAACCCACTCAGCTGCTCTAAGGGAGACTCGTGGTCTGGTCCTATAAAGATTACAGCCTAGAAAACCCTGTGGGGCAGCTCAGTGCTGTCACATAGGGTTGCTGTGGGTTGAAATAAACTCCACAGCACCTAACAACAAAATCCTGGCGCTCCCAGCTACAGGGAAGGGGAAGATGGGGAAGGATTCAAGTGATGAAGTCACCTGCTGGTGAGAGGGCCTGGGGGAGGAAGTGTGAGTAGACAGAATAATCTTTACTTTTTACTTCCCTGTTCAGTTCTAAGGAGCTCTGGTGGTGTAGTGGCTAAAGCATCTGGCTTCTAACCAAAAGGTTGGCAGTTAAAACCCACCAGTTGCTCCAGGGGAGACAGATGAGGCAGTCTGCTTTTGTAAAGATTTACAGCCTTGGGGAAGTTCCACTCCACCCTTTAGGGTCACTGGGAGTTGGGATCAACTCGATGGCAGAGGGTTTGGTTGTGATCTGGTTCAGTTCTAACACCAGTCTCCCATACATCACTTCTTTCTCTAACACTAGCCACTCAGCGCAAGGTCAGATCTTACAAGTCAAAAGGACACCATACTTCAGACTGATAGGCAGATGCCAACCGCAAGTTTGGCTTCTGACCTGCTGGCTACAGATTCAGGGTTTTCCCCACTACCCTTTCAGAATGCCAGCAGCAAGCTTGGGAGTCACCCTGGGCTCCCTCACTTCTGACCTGCTGGTGCCCACTCCTTTGGGTTCGATAATTCCCTCAGACAACTCAAAGAAGTCACAGAAAGGGCTATACTTATGATGTACAGCTTCATCATAGCAAAAAAAAAGGATACAAATGAAGAAAGAGAGAGTGAGGTCTAGGAGGGTTCCCACTGCCAAAAAGGGATGCACTCCCCTGTCACCTGTCTTTCATCAGCCAGAAAGCACACAGCTTTTATTTGGGTCTTATTACCTAATGCAATTCCAACTCCACTCCCTGAGGTCAGTCAGTATCACTAGGTGGTCATAAAGCCCTTCTAGCCTGGCAGCCCGACCCCAATCACCTCATGTAACCTGTGTTAAGAGTTAGTGTGGAGTCCTTATCAAAGGCATATAAATTCCATTAAAAGGGCCTGAGGACAAAAACCAAATCCACAGTGTCTTATGAATGAAAGGGTCATTTATCTTATCTGAAATATGAGATCACCTCAACAACAAAAAGACAAATAATCCAAGTAAAAAATGGGCAGAAGACATGAATAGACACTTCACCAAAGAGGATATTCAGGTGGCCAACAAACCCATGAAGCAATGTTCATGATCATTAGCCATTGTTGTTGTTGTTGTTGTTTGCCGTCGAGTCGGCCCCGACTCATGGCGACCCCTCCTTGGGTTTCCGAGGCAGTATCACTATGGAAGTAGATTGCCCAACCTTCCTTCCGAGGAGTGGCTGGTGAGTTTGAACCGCCAGCCTTCTGGTGAGCAGTCAAGTGCCTTAGCCACTATGCTACCAGAGCTCCTCATTTGCCATTAGAGAGATGCAAATCAAAACAATGAGATACCATCTCACCCAGCACTAAGAGCAAAGTTCAACAAAACAGAAAATAACAAATGCTATTAAGAAAAGAAAAAAAAAGAAAAAGAGTGAGGAAAACCAAAGATGCATGGAAACAATTAGTCCAAAGGACTGGTATACCATGTGATCCTCAGCCTCTATGACTATGACTATGAGACCAGAAGAACTAGATGGTGCCTAGCTATGACTGTTAACCACTTGGAGGGAGATCAGTGCAGGATATCCTGGATACAGTGGGAGAACAATGTGGAACAAAACTCAAAATCATTAAAAAAAAAAAAAAAAAAAAGGACCAGGTTATGCTGGTCTGATAGAGCCTGGCGAGAACCCTGAGACTATGGCCTCTAGCTACCCTCCAGGTCTGGAACTGAACTCCCTCCTGTGGCTTACAGCCAAATAATAGACAGGCTTATGGGCTGAACATTTACATCAGATAGATACACTACTTGGAGCAATCAATCATGGGAGAAGAGAAGGGCAGTGTTTGCACAGGGAGGCAGTTTAGGGGGTGGGAGTGCATGGGCGAGACGGACACAGAATTTTAAAAAATGGAAGAAATTAATTTTTTAAAAAAAAAATGAGAATGTTCCCCTGGCCCTCTCTCCTCTCATCGCCTCTTTTCTCTGCACCGCCCCCCCCCCCGACCACAGTGGACCCTGATGCCATATGGCTGCTCCAAGGCTGGCTCTTCCAACACCAGCCCCAGTTCTGGGGGCCTGCACAGGTGGAGGCTGTGCTGCGGGCTGTTCCCTGGGGCCGCCTCCTGGTTCTTGACCTGTTTGCTGAGACCCAGCCCGTGTACATCCGCACAGCCTCCTTCCACGGCCAGCCCTTCATCTGGTGCATGCTGCATAACTTTGGGGGCAACCATGGCCTGTTTGGAACCCTGGAGGCTGTGAACCAAGGCCCTGCAGCAGCCCGCCTCTTCCCCAACTCCACCATGGTGGGCACAGGCATGGCCCCTGAGGGCATTGGCCAGAACGAAGTGGTCTATGCTCTCATGGCTGAGCTGGGCTGGCGAAAGGACCCAGTACCAGATTTGGGGGCCTGGGTGACCAGCTTTGCTGACCAGCGGTATGGGGGTGTCCACCAGGATGCAGAGGCAGCATGGAGGCTCCTTCTTGGGAGTGTCTACAACTGCTCTGGCGAGGCCTGCAGTGGGCATAATCACAGCCCACTGGTCAAGCGGCCGTCCCTACAAATGAACACCACTGTCTGGTACAACCGATCAGATGTATTTGAGGCCTGGCGGCTGTTACTAACAGCTGCTCCAACCCTGGCTGCTAGCCCGTCCTTCCGTTACGACCTGCTAGACATCACTCGCCAGGCGGCCCAGGAGTTGGTCAGCTTGTACTATGAGGAAGTGAGGACTGCCTACCTCAACAAGGAGTTGGTTCACTTGCTCAGAGCTGGAGGCATCCTGGCCTACGAGCTTTTGCCCACATTGGACAAGGTGCTGGCTAGTGACAGCCACTTCCTGCTGGGCAGCTGGTTGGAACAGGCCAGGACGGCAGCTGTCAGTGAGGCCGAGGCCTATTTCTTTGAGCAGAATAGCCGCTACCAGCTGACCCTTTGGGGACCAGTGGGCAACATCCTAGACTATGCCAATAAGCAGCTGGCGGGACTCGTGGCTGACTACTACACCCCCCGCTGGCAGCTCTTTGTGGGGGCGTTGGTTGAGAGCCTGGTCAAGGATGTCCCCTTCCAACAGCATCAGTTTGATGAGAATGTCTTCCAGCTGGAGCAGGCATTTGTCCTCAGCACACGGCGGTATCCCACCCAGCCACAAGGTGACACTGTGGACTTGGCTAAGAGGCTCTTTCTCAAATATTACCCCCGGTGGGTGGCTGGTGCCTTGTGACAGATTAACCACCCTTGGGGCATGTTCTCTCCAAACTGCAGGTCAGGGCAGGTTCCTGGGGCCTGGAGCTGGACAAGCATCGCAGGAGGTCCCCGAGCCTGAGAGAAGGTAGTCAGGTCAGGTATAGGAGGGTCGAGAGGCAGGCAAGCTGCCCTCCACTATTCCAAATCTGAGGTCAAAGTACTGTTTTTTTAATCAGATCAATAAACTGATGGATCAGCCCCTGGCCTGTCTATCAGAGTAAGATCATTGCCAGGATGCCCGGGAGGACTCGGGGCTTCAGCATGGATCCGTGTGTGGGGCCAGTTCCTCTCCAACTCCCATCATTAGCCTTAACTTCCCCAGTTTTAATACTAATCCCTGACCTTTGCACTAAGCATTCCCTCCCAAAGCATTTACTTTCATAAATTCAGCAGCAAATTCTGGAAACTACCTTTGTCCCCATGGGACAGAGGCATGCCTAGGGGACCATCTGCCCGGGAGCACTCAAAGCCCAGATCCCTATCAAAGCCCGTACTTGCTGCAAAGTGAAAGCCCTTCTCCCTCCCTCTGAGCAGCATCAGAGGCAGGCGCCTCATTTCTGCCTTGACCCAGAGCAGGGTGGGGAGTGGGCCAGGAACTCCAAGGCGGGCTCAGCCTTGAGATTGTGAAGCAGACACAACAAAGGATGGAGTGTCAGCAGGCGGGGGTTGGGTGAAGCAGGTGGTATTTAGCTCTGTGATGGGAGCCCTGGTCTCCGCCAGCACCTTCCCATGGATCGCACCGTGGTGCTCATCACCGGCTGCTCCTCCGGCATCGGCCTTCACCTGGCCCTGCGTCTGGCCTCTGACCCGTCCCAGAGTTTCAAAGGTATAGGAGGAGACTGGGTTACAGAGAAGGCAGCAGCTCATGGTCCAGGTGGGCCAAGGGAGGGGGATGCTGGGAATTCAAATCCTCTACGTCTCCCGAACCTCCAGTGTATGCCACCCTGAGGGACCTGAAGGCTCAGGGCCCACTGTGGGAAGCAGCCCGGGCCCGGGGATGCCCTCCTGGCTCCCTGGAGACACTGCAGCTGGATGTGAGGGACTCCGATTCTGTGGCTGCTGCCCGGGCACAAGTGACAGAGGGCCGTGTGGACGTGCTGGGTGAGCCTTCCTAGTCCTGTGTCCAAACCTGGATGCGCCTAAGCCCAGGGAACCCGAGGGTCCAGAGGTGGGCTGAGGGCAGTGGGTGAAGTAGGTGGGCCAGGCCTCTGTTCCCACAGTGTGTAACGCAGGAAGGGGCCTGCTTGGGCCGCTGGAGGCACACGTAGCTGCTTCGGTGGGCTCCGTGCTGGACGTGAATGTGACAGGAACAGTGCGGACTCTTCAGGCCTTCCTGCCGGACATGAAGCGGCGCCGCTCCGGGCGCGTGTTGGTGACTGGGAGCGTGGGAGGTTTGATGGGTGAGTAGGTGGGGGTGGGAAGGAGGAAGAGCCTAAAGACTTGCTTCCAGGACCTGTAGCTGGCATTACAGACAAGGCACGTGGCCTAAAGAAAAGCCTGAGGCTTAGGGACACATGTGGCATGATGCTACAGCGGTGGACCCATCCTGCACCTTGTTGTCCCTCAACAACCTCATCTTCCCTCCAAGGGCTGCCCTTCAATGCTGTGTACTGTGCCAGCAAGTTTGCACTCGAAGGTTTATGCGAGAGTCTGGCGGTTCTGCTGCCATCTTTTGGGATCCAGTGAGTCACTGCCCCTTGACGTTTCTCAACCCCCACCGTGGGAGCCCCTGCACCTGGTCTTGTTAGAGCTTTAATTCCTAGCCCCTACTTGCTCCATTATGAGTCGGGGCTGACTCGATGGCACGTAACAACAACAACAACTTGCTCCACTTATATGTGTTGTGTGCTGGTCACTGTGCTGGGATGTGGCATGCGTTAGCTCACTTCCCGAGTAGACCTTGCTGGTGAGGTACTGTTCTTGGGAAGCTTAGGCCCAGAGAGGGTAGGTAATTGGCTCAAAGTCACACAGCTGTAAGCTGGTTCGAATTCTACGTTAGCGTCTCTCTCGCGCCCTCAAGTGGAGGTGGGAGCGCTTTCGGGCAGGAAAACTGTACAAATGCTCCGGCTGTCCTGAGCAATTGCCACCCGCGCACAGCCCCCCTCTCCCATCCTCCTGCCCGGCCCGCCACGCGGTCCCGGGCCAGCATCACGCCCGCGCCCACCTGCTGCTCTCGGCCCGCAGCTTGAGCCTCATCGAATGCGGCCCGGTGCACACCGCCTTCCAGGAAAAGTTGGAGGGCGGCCCGGGTGGGTCGCTGCACGGCGCGGACGCCAAGACCCGCGACCTTTTCTCGCGCTACCAAAGCCACTGTCAGCAAGTCTTCCGCGACGCGGCGCAGGACCCGGAGGAAGTGACGGAGGTGGGCGCCGGGCGGGCTCCGGGAGCTGGGGCGGCCACGGACCACGCCAGCGAGTCTTCTCCCGCCGCTGCAGGTCTTCCTCACCGCCTTGCGCGACCCGCAGCCCGCTCTGCGCTACTTTAGTACGGAGCACTTCCTGCCCCTGGTGCGCTTGCGCCTCGGCGACCCCAGCGGCTGCAGCTACGTGGCCGCTATGCGGCGCGAGGTGTTCAAAGAAGAGTCTGCGGAGAACCCCGATGGCAGTCCAGCTCAGCCAGAGGCAGCAGGACTGGGAGGCCCTGAGCTTAGCTCCCCTTCCAATGCCCTGCAATAAAAGCTTCGTTCTCGTCTCCAGAGCCTGCCTTTGAGCCCCTGGAGGGGGGGGGGGCGTACAGTCAGGGGTCTGGGGCAGTGGTGAGAGTTCCCGCTGCACTGTACTTGAATGACCAGTGGTTGGCTTGGGGCTTCCAAGGGCCCTGGCAGTGAGTGCGTGATCACGCAGGTCACGTTAGTCCTGGATCTACAGAAACCGAGGGCCAGAGAGGGGAAGGAGCTATGCCAGGTGCCCGCCACAAGCCCATGTCACAGCCAGGACGCCAGCTGACCCTGGATACCCAAAGGGCCTCTGCAGCATTAAGACTTAGAGGGACCCGAGTGGGAGGAGTCGGGTTGTGACCTGGCCCTCATTAACCATGGGACCTAAGGCTAGATCTTTACTTTCTCCTTGCCAGCTTTCTTATCTGTAAAATGGGTGTAATAGTACATATCTCATGGGTTGTTAATTGTTGTCTAATCTGATTTAAGGAGCTCTGGTGGTGTAGTGCTTGAGGCATTTGACTGCTAACCAGAAAGCTGGTGGTTCAAATCCACCAGCCACTCCTCAGAAGGAAGATTGGGCAATCTACTTCTGTAGTGATATTGCCTCAGAAACCCAAGGAGGGGTCGTTATGAGTCCGATCCCACTCAATGGCAGGGTTTTTTGTTTTTTCCTGACTTTGGGCGACCCTATGGGTGTCAGAATAGAACTGCGCTCCATAAGGTTTTTAAGACTGACTTCCAAAGCAGATCACCAGACCTGTTTCGCAAGGCATCCGCTGGGTGGGTTGGATGTGGGGTGTTGTGTGTCATCAAGTCCATTCCGACTGACAGTGACTCTATCTACAGGGCAGACAGAGCTGCCCCACAGGCTTTCCTAGGCTGTGAGCTTTACAGGCACAGATCTCCAGGTCTTCTCTACCATGGAGTGGCTGATAATTTCAAACCCCAGGCCTTCTGATTAACAGCCAAGTGCATTAACCGCTGTGTCACCATGTAGTAAGATTTAATTGAGATAATGCCTGAAAATGCCGGTATAGAGGTACTAGTAAGTAGCATCACTACTGACATGCTAGTGTTATATTCCCGTTCGGAAGCTAGATGTATAAAGAACTGGGCTAAATGAATACAAGAGAAAAAGCCTCACTTCCTTCTCCTCCACCCCACCCCCACCAGAAGAACACCCCACCAGCCCCAAGCTGCCTGTCATTTCAGAGTTGGGCTGTGGCTGCAGACCTGATTGGTCTTCCCAATGGTCTGTCCACCTTCCAGGGCCCAGCGGAGGGGGCTGGGGCAGAAGTCACTGAATTGGTTTGCAGGCCTGAGACAATCTCCTTCTGCCTTCCTGGGAGAGAAGGCCAGAGAAGGGTTGGAAAACAGGCTAAGTGATAAGGCTGCAAGCAGATGAAAGGGGCAAGGCCCTGCACTAGGGGGATGGCACTGAGAGCCTTGGGGGCTGTAGATGAAAGGAGGGAAAAGGTGAGGGAGGAATGGCTTGAGAAAGCTTGGGAAGTGGGAATAGAGAGGAGCAGACTGGGGTCCTTAGGGCTCTGTGTGGGATGCTGGGGGAAGGAGGCACTCTTTCCTGAGCTACCCCTACCTCCACAGAAGGATCGTCTCTGGGCCCTGTCACCTCTGCTCTTGGGGGAAAGGACAAGGGGCCTCACAGCCACCCTGCCCTTGCCTACCTCCTCACCCTTTTGGCTCAGATAGATCTGCTGCCCCTATTGCACCCAGGAAGGCCATGGGAGGGGGATGGAGTCAAGGTGGCATAAGCCCCTGAGGCACAGGACCTGTTCTCAGAGCCCAGCTTCCGTCCCTAGGCTGCTCCTCTGCACCTCAGAAGAGTGTGTGTGTGTGTGTGTGTGTGTGTGTATACAATTCACAGGGTCACCCCTGGGGGTGGAAGGCAGGGGATGAGTGAACTGTGACCCCTCTTTCTTCCATACATTTATATCCTTGACCTCATACAATCCTGTGGACTTCGAGTGCCATTTACATGCTAATGAACCCCCCCAAGAAAAGCACACATAACTCCAACCCCATCGTCACCCACAAACTCAAGGCTTCTATTTTTAGCTGCCTACTCATCACTTCCACTTGATGTTAAATAAACTTAATGTGTCCAAACCACAATTCCTTGTCCAAAAACCTTGCTGGACTCCTTGGCTCCTTTCTTCTCCCTCTCTCTCTTATACACAAACACACATCCCTCATTCAATCCATCAGCCAAAACTGTCAGCTCTACTTCAACCTCCAAAGCATATTCAGAAAACACCCTAGGCTACAAACTATCATCTCTCGGTGCATTACTGCTGTAGCCTCCTAATAGGTTTCCAATTCCACTCTTGCCCACCTGTGGACAGTAAAATATCGACAGATGGCTGAAATGATTGTTAAAGAATGAACATCTGATAATTTCATGCCTCTGCTCAAAACATTTCTTGTGTTTTTCCATCTCAGCAAAATCCATGGTCTTCCCTCATGGCCTCCAAGACCTTTGACCTGCCCCATTTCCTCTCCGACCTCATCTCCCACTACTTTCTATTTTAATCAATCCAGCCCACTGGCCTCCTGCCTCAGAGCCTTTGCCCTTGCTGTTCCCTCTCTCTGGTTCACCTTTCCTCAGTTCTCATAATCTCCTTGCAGATATTCTTTTTCCTGGACCGCCCTGTCTCAAATAACACTCCCTCCCTTCCCAGCTAGTCCTTTACCCTTTCTTTTCTCAGCACTTACCACCACCAGTATGACATAGATTTGTTTACTGTCTGTAGCCTTTATCATTCCCATCCCTTGACATACAGAAATGTAAACTGCAGGAAGGCAGGGACTCTGTTTTGCTCACTGGTCTACCTCTTGTGCGTAAAGCTAGTGCCTTCACATACCAAAACCAAACCAAACTCACTGTGACCCCTCCTTGGGTTTCCAAGGTGGTATAACTACAGAAGTAGATTGCCCAATCTTCCCTCCAAGGAGTGGCTGGTGGGTCTGAACTGCCAGCCTTCTGGTTAGACATTCATGCAATGTGACTGTGTGTGGGTAAGGGAGCTCTGGCGGCACAGTGGTTAAGTGCTCAGCTGCTAACCAGATAACAGGTAGGTGGTTTGAACTCACCAGTGGCTTCGCGAAAGAAAGATGTGGCAGTCTGCTCTGGCAAAGATTCAAAAAAAAAAAAAAAAAACTCACTGCCATGGAGTCAAATCCAACTCATAGAGACCCCTCCTTGGGTTTCCAAGGAGGTATCACTACGGAAGTAGATTGCCTCATCTTCCTTCCGAGGAGTGGCTGGTGGGTTTGAATCACCAGCCTGCTAGTTAGCCATGGACTGGTTCTATTCTATCCTGTAAGGTTACTACTGAGTTGGAATCCACTTGACAGCAACAGGTTTGGTTTTTGGCCTGGTGTGCAGGCATATGAGACCCTCACTCCCTGACAGCCCTCGCTGCTTGCTTCTTAAAACTGAGTCCACTGTTTAAAATCCAGCTTAAAACGTCTCCTGCAAAAAGCCTGCTCCATTAATGTCTGTGGGGCTCTACAGCTCTTTGATCCTTGACTCCAAGGGCAGGTCCAGGTTTTCTGGGGCCTATTTAAGAAAAAGAATACAAAAGACAAACACAAAATTAAGTATAAAAGAGAGCATTTATTTAGTTCAGGATAATAAACACAGCACACTGTTGAAGATTTGGAGGTTGGTTTCCTTTTCTTCTGACATCTCTGAGCAATTTACCGGAAACATTTCCTGACCTCAATCTGGCTTGCCCTCCCCACCAAGAAGACTACCACTAGCCTTTCTAGCAGGAGCTCTGGTATAGCCTAATGCCTAAGGCACTTGACTGCTAACCAGAAGGCTGGCGGTTCAAACCACCAACCACTCCTCCGAAGGAAGATTGGGCAATCTACTATCCGGTAGTGACACCGCCTCTGAAACCCAAGGAGAGGTCGCTAAGTCGGTCCGACTGGACAGCACATAACAACAACAGCCTTTCCAGCCCTGTTAGCTTCATGCTAAGGCCCCCTGCCTTCACTTCCTTTTCTCACGCCCAAAGACTGTCCTCTGAGCTTACACGCTGCGTTCTCCCGCTTACCTCCCTGCACACAGGCACACCCTACATCTGGGTGGTGCGGAGAGCATCCCACAGGAGCCGGGAGACCTGGCCTCTGTCGCTACCTCCCTATATGCCCCTTGAACATAGAGGCCTATTTTCCCATCTGCGAAATGGGAGCTTCGGCAACTGTTGGTGGCCTTCCACGCGAGGATCCTCGCACTCGGAGAGAACAAGGCGGGCTTCGGGGACGCCAAGCCCTGGCTCACGCGCAACCGTAAGAAACCCACCTTCGTCCCTAGAATCCACTAAGCCTGATGTTAGCACTGGTTTGCCTTTGCCTCCTGGGTGACCCGAAGACCATCCGACAAACGAGCATTTAAACTCGCTTTGCCCTTCTCCGCCTGACTCCGAACGGCTTGGCCCTAGGACAACGATTTACCCATCGCCTCATCTTGGGAACTCAGCTCCTCCCCATCGGTGGGACGCGACTCACCTCAAGAGAAAACTCTCGAAAAGCTCGCGCCGGACCAAAGTTGAGATGTGTGAGCCTTTCCGCTTTCCGTAGCTTGGTGTCGGGTTTCCTGAAGTAGTGGTTCCGGGTCGCTGTTTGGGCGCCTCTTTGGCTGTACCCGCAGAGCCAGAGCCCGAGCCCGGAGGCATCAGTGAGTAGGGGTTGGATCTGAGCTCCTCCCTTCGCTTCCCTCCCCCAATTCCTTGAAGACCCTGGTGCAACTTAGCAAGAGGGCCCAAGACCCTGGATCCCCAGCCTGATGACCCAGGGTCTCCTGCCCAGTTCTCCACTCAGCATTTTGATTCAGTTCAGTGAATTCATTGCCCGGTCTGAGAGATGAGGAAACGAAGAGTCAGAGGACAGCCCGAGGCTCAGTCTGCCATGCCCCGCCCCCCTTTCCAGGTTTCCCTCGATCACCACCGAGACTTTGTCCCTGACTCACGTCTCCCCCAGAGTCAAAGGTCCGTGCAGGCCTCGGTTTCAGCCGCATTGCCCTCAGTCACCCTCGTCTCATCTCCCTGTCTGCAGGCCCGGGCAACATGGCTGTGTTCCGGTCAGGCCTCCTGGTGCTGACGACGCCTCTGGCCTCCCTGACAACTCGCTTGGCGCCCATCCTAACCTCGGCGGCCCAGCTGGTGAAGCACACGCTCTATGTCCATCTGCAGCCAGGCCTGAGCCTGGAAGGTCCTGCTCAGCCCGAGTCCAGCCCCGTGCAGGCCACATTTGAAGTTCTCGATCTCATCACGCACCTCTACACAGGCGCTGATGTCCACAGGCACCTCGACGTCCGAGTTCTGCTGACGAATATCCGAGCCAAAAGCGCCTTTCTCCCTCCCCAGTTCAGCTCAGTCCAGAATCTGGCCCACCCGCCGGAAGTAGTGATGACTGACTTCCAGACCGTGGATGGCGGCCAGTACAACCCGGTCAAGCAACAGCTAGAGCGCTATGCCACCAGCTGTTATAGCTGTTGCCCACAACTGAGTTCGGTGTTGCTATACCCCGAGTATGGGCCTCGGGAGCAGTCCGTGGAGCCCCAGAGTGACCCCTCATCTTCCACCATCAAGCTGGCTTCCCCCACGGCCAGGTCTCCAAAGCAGCCAGTGCGTGGCTACCACCGTGGGGCTGTGGGTGGCACGTTTGACCGCCTACACAATGCCCACAAGGTGTTGCTCAGCGTCTCATGCATCCTGGCCCAGGAGCGGCTTGTGGTGGGAGTAGCAGACAAAGAACTGTTAAAGAGTGAGTGAGAGGGACCTTGGATTAGGGCACTGGAGAACCCCAAATCTTTTTGCCCTCTGCCCTTATGTCAAGATTGAGGAAGAGTGAGACCATCCATTAATTCACTTCTCTCCCAAATGTGAAGTGCCTGGCACTCAGTGCTAAGGAAATTTTGTTAAGCTTTCTGGTGGGCCAGTCACCACTCTATCATGATTCCCCCCTTGTGGAGCCAGGGAATCTGCATTTTAACAAGAACTCCAGATGATGAACCTTAAAGTTTGGGACCTTGGAATAAATGGATGAGTGAGTTGTAGGTAGTAGTGCCAGAGGCAATAAAAGGGGATTCAAGGATGATTTTGAATCTTATAATTATCCGTCTGACTCATGTCTACTTGCACTGCTATTTATTGAGTAGTTTCCTGGTGGCTTGTTCCTTGGGTACAGGCACTATTGTATTTGCCTGACTCCTTCTTCCCAGCCCCTCGCTCACAGACCACTTCCTTACTTAGCTTTTCTCACCATCCTATCTAGAGATACAGTGCCAAGGGGTACTCTTTCTCCAGCTGTCCCACACTCTTTCTCTCCACTCAAAAGATCTCACTGTTTTTCGGGCTCCTTCCCCAGGCAAGTTGCTCCCTGAACTGCTCCAACCCTATGCAGTGCGTGTGGAACATCTGAGTGAGTTCCTGGTGGACATCAAGCCCTCCTTGACTTTTGATCTCATTCCCCTGCTGGACCCCTATGGGCCTGCTGGCTCTGACCCCTCCCTGGAGTTCCTGGTGGTCAGCGAGGAGACCTATCGTGGGGGGATGGCCGTCAACCGCTTCCGTCTTGAGAACGTAACCCCTGAGGGAGACTGGCAGAGGGAGTGGATGGGAATGGGGAAGGCCATTGTGGGAGGCTGTTGGAAGTACCGTGGCCCTAGAGGAAGGAAGAGAAGGCTGTAGGTGGTGGGAAAAGGCAAGGAGGAACTGAGTCCCAGAATGCTTTGTGAATTGGAAGTGAAGCCCGGGGTGTATGGGGAGAGGATAAGGGGCAGGTTGAGTTTGGGGTTGTCCCTTCTTCATCTCACCCCTCCTTCCCTCTCCCCACCCCCTCCCCCTTTTACCTCAGGACCTAGAGGAGCTTGACTTGTACCAGATCCAGCTCCTGAAGGACCCAAGCCACATGGAAAATGAAGAGGATAAAGTCAGTTCCTCCAGCTTACGCCACCGAATGCTGGGAAACCTGCTGCGGGCACCACATGTAGGCACCCTTACCCCACTTAGGTGGGCTGGACATGCTGGAGGATGGAGAGTGAGGGGTTACCCTAAGCATGAGCCTGAGAGCCCTGGTAACTGTGGGGTTCCCTCTCTCATCTGTCCCAGAAGAGGCCACAGCTTCCCCCAAATCTCTATGTGATTGGGTTGACGGGCATTAGCGGCTCTGGGAAGAGCTCAGTAGCTCATCGTCTGAAGGGCCTGGGGGCATATATCATCGACAGTGACCACCTTGGCCATCGGGCTTATGCCCCGGGTGGCCCAGCCTACCAGCCCGTGGTGGAAGCCTTTGGACCAGGTAATAACGGGAAGGCTGGTGGTGGCCTGAGGTGAGATGGCCTGGCCACCTTGCTCAGGTCTCCATCTTTGTCATCCAGATATTCTCCATAAAGATGGCATCATCAACAGGAAGATCCTAGGCAGCCGAGTGTTTGGGAACAAGGTAAACACCTGTTTAGTGGCTCCTTAACTGCTGCTACACCCAGCAGTTGGGACAGAGTGGATCTTTCTGGTCTAGCCCAGAATGCTATTTCTACTCATCTGCTCCCAGTGACCATCTCCCTCAGAGTAGGTCTGTCTCTGAGGGAAGATGACCTCTGCCTGCTCTCTCTGTGCCCCTCCCCAGAAGCAACTGAAGATACTCACAGACATCATGTGGCCAATTATTGCAAAGCTGGCCCGAGAGGAGATGGACCTGGCTGTGAGTAGGGGTGAGTAGCAGGGATGATGAGAGCAGCCAAGGGGGACAGTTAGGCAGATTCTGGGCACTTCCCCAGCCCACACTAGACATCCACGTTTCCCCGGGACTATGTTTCCTGGGCACTTTAACTGGTGGCAAGTGGCAGAGTGCTACAGGCAATGACTGGGGTTTCCCCACAGGAAAGCATGTGTGCGTGATCGATGCCGCCATGCTTCTTGAAGCCGGCTGGCAGGACATGGTGCATGAGGTGTGGACCGTTGTCATTCCTGAGACTGAGGTACCTGGACCCCACCCTTACCCCACCCCCATTGCAGACTACAACCTGCACTGAGCTGGGGGCTGAGCTTGGCATCCTTCCTGACCAATGCCTGACCTGTGCCCAGGCTATACGGCGTATCGTGGAGCGTGATGGCCTAAGTGAAGCTGCGGCACAAAGCCGGCTGCAGAACCAGATGAGTGGGCAGCAGCTTGTGGACCAGAGCCATGTGGTGCTGAGCACACTATGGGAGCCAGAGGTCACCCAGCACCAGGTGGGTACCCAGGGAAAGGCTGGGTTGTGAGGAGGGAGTCTCCAGTGGGTGCCTGCCTGACCCTGTCCTGTTTGCCTCCTTCCAATGTTCTGACCTGCCCAAAGGTGGAGAAAGCCTGGAACCTCCTGCAGAAGCGTATTCCCCAGATGCAGTCAGGCCCCTGACTGACCATGAGTTCTTAGTGGGGTCAGACTGGCCCCTGGAGCTGACTAGAGATCCAGTGGTGAGAGGAGTGGGGACCTTGATGCTTATCCTTGGCTCAGCTCTAGGGAGCTTTAAGCTGGCCTGGGCCTACCCAGCCTGCTTGTATGAGGCCAGCATTGAGGACGTGGCTCAAGAAGGAGCAGACTCTGGTGGTGGTCCATCCTCGCCCTTGCCCAGGAGTGTCCATGAGGCCTACAGCTGACTAGGGCCAGGGCAAACACTGGAACTAGTAACAATTAAAGGTGACAGTTTCCAGGTGAATGTATTGTGTTTGCTCTCTGCTCCTACACTTCTGGAAATCTCTGGAACCCTTGAGTCACAAGTGTGGGGCCCAGGCCTGAAAGCCAGGCCTGCCACTGACTACCAGTGTGCTTTTGGGTAAGTCACGGACTTTGTAGAGACCTTAGTGTCCTTATCTACAAAGTAGGATAAACTGGCTCACAGGCTTTTTGCAAGGAACCATTAATTCCCCAGGTATTCTGCCGGACTGGGCTGAGTGTTGAGAGATCATCCCTAAACAAGCCAGACAGGAGCTTTGCCCTCACAGAGCTGCAGCCTGGTAGGGTCAGGCGCGAGGAAGCGCTGCCTAATTCCAGACCCACCGGGCCTCATGGTTCCAGAGGCTGGGCACGCACCTGCGGGGCAGCCTGGGAAAAGGGCTCTCTCTGAGCTGGCCGGGCTGGGCAGCGCGCGTGCGCACAACTATGCGGCAGTATTCATAAAGCCTTTGGAGGGGATCCCACTTCATAGAACGTGCTTCATTTCGCCGCCGCCCCAGAGTGCCTAGCCCCAGTGGGAGGGCGAGGGGACAAGAAAGAACCCTAAAACTGCATTTCAGCTCGAGCTCTGAGCTGTAGTTTAAAGCCCACGGCCTGCGCGTGCGTAGTGGTTGACCTCCGCCTCCTGGCCGCGGATTGGTGGGTTTGGATCAGGTGGATGCACCTCCCTCTTCCTGGAGGCGGGGGGCTCGCCCGCTGGCTTGTTTCCGGTTCGGTGGGTTCAAGATGACAGAGCCGGTCGCTTCTCCCGAAGACCCCTGGGTCAAGGCAAGCCCCGTGGGCGCGCACGCTGGCGAGGGGAGGGAGGGTGGGGCTCGTGCACGTAAGGGTTCAGAAGCCGAGGGGATTTCCTCCTGTTCCCCAAGTCTCCCCGCCCAACTCTGGGCCCTGAGGCTGCAGAGAAGACAGCTTTCGCCCGGCTCGTGCTAAGGTGTGGAAACGATTGAGGCGTGTGCTCGCCAGTGTGACAGCGGGTGGGTCCTAGGGATCGGGGTGAAGAGAAGGGCGGCGCTCCCATGGCTCTCGCCGGGGCTCATTGTGCTGATGGCCTGCCCCAAGTGTGTGTGATACGCAAGTACACACAGTAAATTGGGACGCCTTCCCCAGGAACGGGGGTCTGATGGGCTTCTTCCTTGCTCGGTGCCTCAGGTGGAATATGCCTACAGCGACAACAGCCTGGACCCTGGTGAGTGGCTCCCCACCTTCCTTCCTCACCGTCCTCAGTTCAAAGTGACACTCCTGCTTCAGCCCTATAGATTCGTGTGAACTCCCCAGTCACACCTGAGCAAAGTCACACCTGAGTGCAGTGCTCGCTGAAGACAGCGAGGGAGGAGCTGAAGGACAGGGACAGGAAGCAACCAATAGTGACACCCAGTTTCTTCTGTTCTGGGGCAGGGAAGTGATGGAAATAATGACAACTGGTCACTCTCTTAATCCTTCTCATGTCCAGATGCCCGGTTGAGAGCAGGGGTGTCACTACAGGCAGTGTGGTATGGCAGGAAGTGAGTGGCCCATTCTGGCTGGCTTTGGGATTGAAGGGGAGAGTTCAGCATTTAAGGATCAGGAAGCTATTATGGCCACAAGTGTCTGAGGACCTGGCAGTGTTCTTCACCTCACCCATTAGTGATTGGGGCCTCTCTTTTCCAGGGCTTTTTGTAGAAAGCACCCGCAAGGGGAGCGTAGTGTCCAGAGCTAATAGCATCGGTTCTACCAGTGCCTCTTCAGTCCCCAACACAGGTAGGCAGCACCATCCCCCCACCTGGGGGGACTAAGATATGCCATCACTTTAGTATCTTTCCTAGAAAGGAAGCTCCTGCCATCCACATGGGGGTAACGGGTAATGGAGCCCTAGTGCCAGACAAAGGGTCTCACCATCTTTCACCTCATCCTAGGGTGTTAGGTTCTTCTGTGCATCTGCCACGTCTGAGCACTGAGTTCCCCTCCTTCTCAACTGAGTGAAGGTAGGGTAGCTGGGCTCTGCTGGGCCCTGGCATGACCTCTCCTTGCCCCCAACTCTCACCAGATGACGAGGACAGTGATTACCACCAGGAGTCCTATAAGGAGTCCTACAAGGACCGGCGGCGGCGCGCACACACTCAGGCCGAGCAGAAGAGGAGAGATGCCATCAAAGTGAGTGGGGAGGCCTGCACTGCAGCCAGAGCAGAAGGCCCTACAGATTTCACATTCATTTTGCCCAGGCTCTATCCGAATCCCAGGCCAACTTGGGCTCAAGCTGACCCAGCCCCTGGACCTGAACACCTCCCTCCTTCTAGCCTCACCCCACCTCTCCCCACCCCTTTGAGCATGGAACTGAAGTGTTACGGAAGCTTAACTTTTTGCCAGTTTGCCTTAGGGGTTAAGGAATCCCCGTTTCCCTTGCTGTCTTCACAGAGAGGCTATGATGACCTTCAGACCATTGTCCCCACCTGCCAGCAACAGGACTTCTCCATTGGCTCCCAAAAGCTCAGCAAAGCCATCGTTCTACAAAAGAGTATGGCCACCGAGAGCACTGAAGGGGGTGGGACCAATGGGGGACTGTGCCTCCTACCTACTCAGCTCAGCCCTGGTGTGCTGGTTGTAATGAGGGCTGGGGGCGGGGGAAACAAACCTTGTCCCCCCCAGGCTGAGCTTTCCTCCATGCTTCCCACTCCCACTCCAGCCATTGACTACATCCAGTTTCTGCACAAGGAGAAGAAGAAGCAGGAGGAGGAGGTATCCACACTACGCAAGGACGTCACAGCCCTAAAGATCATGAAAGTGTAAGGGAGCTACTAAACTGGAAGAACCAGGGCTCCTGAGGGGACTTTGAGTCAGACTGCAGTTTGTACCCTCCTTTTGTCCAAAAGCTACATCAGGAACTACAGTTCAGACAATACTTTCACTCCTTGAGGGAACCCTGTCACTTAGGTACTTCCTCCCCAGCAGACCAATACATATAGCAGACACTAAGGAAACAGCTGCTAGATGTAGGAAGGAAAGGCTGGGGAGAGTCACCATTTCTAACCCAAAGCTATCTAGCTGATGTTGAATACGTCCTCAGAGCTCTCTGGGATGGGTAACCCATTTTTCTGTGCACTGGCATTGCTGCTGTACCACCTCATTCCTGGCCTGCTCTCTCTTAGGAACTATGAGCAGATTGTGAAGGCACACCAGGACAACCCCCACGAGGGGGAGGACCAGGTCTCTGACCAGGTCAAGTTCAACGTGTTTCAAGGCATCATGGACTCCCTGTTCCAGTCCTTCAATGCTTCCATCTCTGTGGCCAGCTTCCAGGAGCTGTCAGCCTGTGTCTTTAGCTGGATTGAGGAACACTGTAAGCCTCAGGTATGGGGCAGCAATGGTCACAGAGGTGGAAGTGCTGGGGTTGCCTCCCTGCCTTTAGGTAAAGTGGCCCAAGCCATCATCTGTTCAGAAAAGCATGCTAGCAACTTGTAGGTTTCCTGAGGGGTATTTCTGCAGCCTCAGCACTTTGTTTTCCCTCTTCTTTGCTATCTAGCCCATAATTTCCTGTTATGGTTTTATTTGCCCAGAATGATCTGAGCACTTACTCAATACAGTAGACTCTCGCTAGGCCTTTACTTGGTCCCCATGGTTGCTGCCTTGTTAGCTGTACCTTGGCTGTATGTGAACCTGACCACCTGTGACAGAACTACATTGGGTTTTTGGAAACCTACAGATTCCTGGGTCCCACCCCCAGGCCCACTGACATAGTCTACCCAGAGGCTCGTTGTTGATGTCATTATTTATAATGGATAGGTGTGTTCATGGTATTAGTGTTATGCTAGGTCCTCTGCTTTTGAGGCCTGGTTGCTTATTTTGAGACTTTACCTTGCAGCTGAGATTCTTTCTTTTTGTGAAACATTTTAAACCCACTGCAACACTGGGAGAATTTTACAGTGAAGACTCCCAATCCCCCCACCTAAATTCTACCGTGAACATTTTACTCTCTGCTTTGTCATCTCTCCATCCCTTTCCCTACCTTGTTTTGGGGGCATCTCAGAGTAAACTGTTGATGTCAGTGCACTGCCCAGAGCTGCTTCTGATGCACATTGAGAGAACCCCCGGTGAGGTGGGCACTACCTGAGACCACTGTTTGCTCTCTGCCTGAGGGTCTGTCTCTACCTCTGCCGTCTTTCCCAGACCCTACGAGAGATCGTGATTGGTGTCCTGCACCAACTGAAAAACCAGCTGTACTGACGGGCTTGGAACCTTCAGAACAGCCAACAAGAGGCCCCCGAGTCATCTTCAGCTTGGCCACGGAGCTGGTGGGCCTGGGAGACTGACCAACTGTGACTCCTCACACCAGTCAGCTGGTTTCTACTTGGTGTGTGGTTCTCTCACCACCACCTTGCCCTCAGTGCGCTGGGGTTTTTGTGTTGTGAAAGCTTCTAATTAATTTATTATATTGACTATGAAACTCAAATGTACCCAGTCTCACCCCTCCCACCACCTCATGGAAGTCCTCAGGATGGGGGTTTGGTCTGAATACCCCAAAGAGCCCCTGGCCTCTCTGCCCTTTTTCCAAGCCTTTCTCCTATGTGCTCATGAACTACATATATTTGGAAACTGCTATTTGCCTATTTGGGTCTCTCGGGTAGCATTTGGCCCAAGTCTGGCCATTTTGGCAAAAAGTAGTTGGATGGGAGAAAAAGCAAGAGGAGTACTTCCACAGCCATGAAGGGCAAAAGGCGGCCTCATACCGAGGCTAAGGCTGCCTGGTCAGTGCAGGGTGACCAGGGATTTCCTGGCCTGGCCCAGGGAAGGGCCACCAGCTTCCTGCCCTGCTCTGGGCAGTTGGGGTTGGCAGTCCCTCCCTGTTCCACAGCTGGTAGCACTGCACAGCAAAGCAAACATATTTTGTGTTTAAGTACACAAAACTTTTCATATTTCAGAAATTTATTTTTCTAGACAGCAGTGCATTTGTTAAAGTTACAACTTTGGAAAATTACCTGGGCTCAAAACTACTCTCAGCCTTTCTTGTGAAGTTGATCTGGGTTTCTGCTTTCAGTGCTACCTGCATTTTTCCCAGGACTTGGGGTGCAGTGATGGGGTACAGAATAAACTCTAAAGGCCTCTGGGGTGCAGAAGCCCAGGAGAGTACTGCTGTGTACAGCGGCCTCTCCAGACCGCCACCCTGAAGCTCCCTTCTGCCTTCCTCGGGTCTGATAACTGGGAGATTTGAGTATCCAGAGGAAATTAAATATTTTTATATCAAACTATCACAATAAACACTGCCAAACGCTTTTCTTTAGCACTGTTCCAAGAGTTAAGCTCAAGACACTGCAGGTGGACAATGAAATGAGTGTGACCATCATGCAGGCTACAGCCCTCTCTCCACACAATCCTTTGGTTTGTGCCGCTCACCTGACTGCTCTGCTCAGAAGCAGAAAGCAGCAGGAACAGCAATAACAAAGCCAACGTCAACAAGGCGCCAGGACAGGACCTTTGTGTTCCCAATCCCCCGTCCTGCCAGAGGGCATCTCAGGGGTCTGGGAGCTTGACATTATAATCTTCATCTGTCTCTATCCCAACTTCCTCCTGTGGGAAGGGGGAGAGGTGAATGAGACCACCCTGGGCAGAGACCCAAGGGGAGCGGGCAAGTGTTATGTTAAGACAGTCCCACTTACAAAGAACTGCTTCTTGCTCTTGGGGTATCCTTCAAGGATCGCATCACACAGCTCTGTTGCCTGACAAGAAACAAAATCACCCCCTACAGATAGACAGCTGTGGGAGCAGGCGGTAGCTTCTCCCGTGACCTCTGTTTTCCAGAGTACCTCCAGGCCTGGCACTCCAGCACACTTACCATCCGCTTCCGCTTCCGCCACTCCTTGCAGTACTTCTGCCTCTCTCTGTAAACCTAGACAGAAGACACCAGTTCCTTTAAGGCCCAGCCTGATTTGCTGGGGGGGGCCACCCCTCATCTCCACCCCTGGATCGACACAAGCCCTCCAGCTCGGCCCAGATCACCTGCTCTTTCTCTTCTGGAGTCACATGGTTGGTGGCCGCCTTAATGTTCTTCAGTCTCTCTGTGTAGCCAGCACATTCCTTCTTTAACACTTGGATCTCTTTCTGCATCTCCAGTGTGGTCAGCGCACTAGTTAACTCTTTCAGCTCTGAAACCACACCTCCCTGGGGTTATGGCTACCCCCGCAGAAGGGGTTCTGTCTTTCCCAGTGGGTGCTCCCTGAGGTGGGAGGCCAGGCATCTGATTTGCTTTAGAATCTAAACTGTGGAAATGCTTAAGGAAATAAAGGTTTACAGAATTCCCAGTTTACTATTTTCCTCTACTCCATCTACACGTAGTAGTGGAGTGGGAGGTTGAGCAGACTTGCAATAGCTCATTAAAACAAAAACAAAAACTCACTGCCATGGAGTCGATTAGACTCATAGTGACCCCTCCTTGGGTTTCTGAGGCGGTATCTCTACAGAAGTACATTGCCCAATCTTCTGAGAAGTGGCTGGTGGCTTTGAACTGCCAGCTTTCTGGTTAGCAGTCAAATGCCTTAGGCACTACGCTACCAGAGCTCCCAGCTCCCTAAAGAGAAGAATAAATGAAACCAGAAGCTCTGGTGGCGTAGTGCCTAAGGCATTTGACTGCTGACCAGAAGGCTGGCAGTTCAAACACAGAATCATGGTACACAAGCAAATGCTTGTCTTGCTCATTTAAATTCAAAAGCCATCAGGTGTTTCCTTTTCATGTAATGCTCGAGGCAACCCAGCAAAAGGGTGTGAGAAGCAAGGCATTGAACTCAACAGTCATTCCTGAGCTCAAGACTAAACCTGCTGCTAGGGGCACCCTCCAGGGCCCCCCAGTCCTACCAGCCTCCATATAGCGGCAGCTCTGTTGCAGGCTCTGCACCTTGGCAGTGAGGGCCACGATCTTGGCATCCAGGCCCTGGAGGTCAGCATCACTCACCACTTCAAACTGCTCCTGCCAGAGACAAGAAGAAGATGGAAGTGGAACGAGATGTGAGGTGCAAAAATAAGAAGGCAAGATTGCAGTATGCCCGGTATTCCCCAGAAAACCACCCACAGGGCTGAAGAGGTAAGAGAACACTCTCCCAAAGTCAGTGAAGCTTCAAGTGTGAGTTTCAACGATAGGAAGAATGTGGACGAGTCAAGTGGCTTACTAGGAGTGGATTCACCCAATGTGCAGGTTTCACTCACCTGATCTACAAAATATATCTTCTGCTTGCCGTACATCTTCTCTTTGATCTTGCCTTGTTGGGCCAGCTGTTCCAGCGCCTTCACCACTGCCTGGCAGAGGGAAGGGGACGGAACAATCAAGAGGAATACCGTTGGGCCCAGGTTGGGGGGATTTCAGTTAATGATGGGGAAGCCCCCGGCAGGCCGGAAAGCTCCCGTCAGCTCGAGAGGGGGGACTCCAGCCTGATTCGACGGGTCCCAAAGAGCAGGAATCTCGGGGTCCTCACCGCCTTGCCAAGGCCGTGTTCCCGCTGCAGGTTCCCGAACACGTCCTGGGCGCTGTAGGGACGGTTCTGCTCCTGCAGGTATCTCAGGAGGAGTCCGGGGGCTATGGAGAGAGAAGAGACCGAAGATGGAGTCATTCGATCTAACCTCGGCACCGCTCCCTTCCCGAGTAACCGGGTATCGCCCGTGCCACCTTTACCTCCCGCCGCAGATTCCGCCCGGCCTTTGCTCATGGCCTTCCCCGCCGCCAACCTCAGAAAGCCAGAAGTTGTAGTAGCTCCGAGCAACAGCTTCTTCCGGCAATGGAGGGCGGGCCTCGAGCAGTGATTGGCTGAAGGGGAAGCCTACTGACAAACCCAACGGCTCTTCCGCTACACCGTAGAGAAGCGCATTTGTTTCGGAAGACGCTCGGGATTCTGGCCGCAACGGGCGATCTTCTGCGGAGAAGGTGGGGCCCGCACGGGTTCGAACTTCTCCCTTTGTCCTCATCCGCAGGGAGGCCGATTAAAGAACGCACCAAGATTTCGAGACCCATTTCTAGCCCCGGCTGAGAGTACTCGTGTGCTTGAGGTAGGCCGGGAGTGTTTAAATGGAAGCCAGGGATCAGCTCCAGCACCCGGCAAGCGACTTGCTCAAGGTCACAAGGCTACTTACAGTGGTATGTCCTGCGCTCACGATCCAGTGTTCTTTTCGTTGGTCAGTCTCATTATTTGTAAAACAGGAATAAAGGGATGGTTGTGAAAATAGCGTCATCGCCGTAGAACGAGCGTTAAACCTTCATGTGCCCGCTACCGAGCTTCACACACAGGGGGTGCTCAATACACGCTCTTGTTTGAACGCCAAGGGACGGTTCGTTTGAAGGGGGCCACTCCTAAACCGCAGAGATTGTATAAAAGCTTATTGGTGCAGTTAAGCTCACGGCAGCACCTGGCAGGTGCTTTCCACCTCTGCCCACAGTGGCCAGTGGGACAGCCTGAAATAAGTATTTCTAGTTTCTGAGGTCAGCTGAAGGCCCAAGAGCAGCTGCCTCTGCCGCTCAATCCAGTGGAGGAGCAAGTGCTTTTTAAGGCCTTATGCTACCTAAAACTTCACTAGCTCTTAAACGTTGTCTTAGACTCAACGTTTAGAATTAGAAATGATGGAACAGCAGGCTAGAGGCGGACCACGAGTGCCAGATACATTCATGTCTGGCTTTCCTGGATTGGGAGAGCGGCCTCATACTACAGTGATTGTTCTGTCTCAAAGGAAAAATAGGGGTAGGCAGGTGGGTGTCTCTTCTGAGGCTGTCACCTCTTCAAATGAATTAGATTGACAACAGAATACTTAACAAGGGTAGGACCCCATTCAACATCAGTCTCTTGTTCTCATACAAGATTTATTCCCCAGCACTCACCTGCCCACCCACCCACCCCAATTCACAGTGGAGGACTAAGGAGATTCAGAGCAGGATCCCCCCAGGTAGAAGAAACACCTTCCAAAGATTTTGCTCTCCTTTCTTTCCTTCTTCCTCCTTGACAACTCTCAAGGCCTGAAACTACACACACTCATGCAGACACACAAAATCCCACTCCTTTCCCACACCTCCCTTTTTTTTTTTTATTCCCCACATCAGAGCTCCCTGTAGGATATCTGGGCTCTGAGAAGAGAGGTGCCCAAAGTCAGTCTATTTGAGAACCCTAAAGTGAGGGTGGGGTGGGGGTGCTGTTACCCCAGCCTTCACACAAAGGGTAGTGACTATGAAATAGGCACCTAGCTCTTCTCCCTTCTCACTGTTAACCATCTTTATTCCCTGGCATCTCTACCTTTCCAGCAACCAAGAGCAAACATGTCAGCACACCCCCACTTGCAGCACATGAAAATGGGCTCTGTCCAACATCCCTCACCCAGGCATGGGGGTGCTGGGGGAGTGGTCCCTGAGGATTGGCAAAGGGTTAATGCAGAGGGAAAGAGGATAGAAGAGTTTGGCTTGAGCTCTGACTGGGGAGGCAGAGAGGCTATGGGCTGGCATGGACTTCGAATTCATTGCCATTTTTGGGTTTTGTCTCATGATTTTACTAGTAGCAGCAGACTAGATGCCCTGTAAAGGGCTCTCTGCTGATTACAGACACATTTTTTGCTAACTGGACTCATCCTTAAAGGAGGCCCTGCCAAGACAAGAAGCGGTTGAAAATAAAAGCAAGAGAGGAGTTGAACAGGGAGTTAAGAATAGTTGGTACAAGAGAGCTGGTGGCTCCTGGGATGAATGCCACTGGGCCATTTGTAAAGTGCTACTTTGTACTCCCCCATGGAGTTATTACTTCTCCAAAGGAGGGGCAAGGGAAGGAGCAGGAACATAGAAATGGGCATGGTATTGCTTAGCTGTTGCTCAGGCTGACAGTCAAATGAAGCCAGGGGTTAACAGCACCAAAGACAAGCCGGAGGCTCCGGGGGCTTCAGTGAGACCAGGAGGTCTTGTGGAAGCACTCCCTGACCCTCCCAGCCTACTGACCCCCATGGCCCAAGGGGACGTAGAAGAGGCCCATCCCCATGTCATGTTCACATTTTTTCAGTTTCACAAGCACTGTTTTGGAGGACTTGAGGTCAGGCCTCCAGAAATGAGGATGGGCTGGAGGCGGGGAAGGGGCTGGCCTCCCACGCAGAACCAAAGGATAAGCTTGCTTTGAAAAAAGCCCAAACTAAAGAATGGTTTAACAACAGAAGAGGAAGACAATGTAACCCTCCCAGCCACTGCCTGACTTTGGAAGCTCTAGGGAGGTGATGAGCAAAAGGAAGAATGGGCTCTTCTCTCAGTGAGAGCCCCCGAGCACCCATACCTGGAAGGAAAACAGCAGCACCCCTCAAAGGGGAACCAAACCCCTGACTACTCTGTTCCCCAAAAGTACCACCCTCATGGAGAGGACTCCCGTGGGGAGCACACTCTCACATCGGTGCCTGAGCTCATGTGGTATCCAGCTGGTAGCAGGGGTGTGAGTATCCTCTCAAAGCAGGCCTTGGAGCATCAACCAGGCCACCCAGCACACAAACAGAATTCAGGGGATGGGACCTGGATTCTTCCCTCGCCCCTTCACCTCAAGTGGGATGGGGTGAAAAAAAAACGTAAACCACAGTGCCCCCCCTCCCCAAAAATGGAGTCTCTGCCTCAGTGGCTCCTGGAACTGGCAGGGTCCAGCTGATTCAGCTCCGACTGGTCAAGAAGTTCAAAGTCATCCCCCTCAGCATCAGTGTCCAGGTCTGAACTGGGGGCCCGGAGGAAGCCTCTTGCTCTTCGGGGAGCAGGGCCAGCAGGGCCTGGCTGGGAGGCCCCTGACAGGGCCAGCTGGATCATGCCCTGGGAGACCAAGCTGGCAAGGTTGCTGGTGAGGTTGGATCCTGCAGGCAGGGCGCCAAGCAGAAGTGCTGGCAGGGCAGCCTCATCCCGGCTGGCAGGAGGGGCCTGGGGCCCCTCGGCCCCTGGTGGCGTACGGTACATTAAGCTGGGCATCCCAATGCTGGTGTCATCTTCATCATCCAGGCCAGTAGGATCCACATTAATGGAAGGGAAGTCTGGAAGGTCTCTGGCAAAGGATTCCTCTGGATCACTGTGACCATCTAGATCTGGAAGAATGCAGAGGTGTCCGAGACGTGGCAGCTGCCTGGCCCTCCTGTGCCCCAGTCCAACAAAGAGCCAGCCCCTCGTCACCAAATTTTTCTCACTACATATTTCTCAGGATGAAGAATGCCCTGTGGGACTGGTCAGCTTTCCCCCTACACTCACAGATGGCTGTGATCTTCTCTACTGGCCAGAGAACTCCCCTCCCTCCCACCACCATGCCACCCGAGAGGCGAGAACCCACGGCTATTAAAGATTAAAGGCTTCCAGGAACATAGCAAAATACCACCCTGGCTGTAGTTACACCTTTAAGGCTACTCTGCCTGAGCCACAGTTCAGAAAACAGGACAGGCAGGGGCACCAGTACCCCTCCCACAGCCCAGGGAAGCTGAGAGGCAAGAGAGCCGTTATCAATGCAGGTGAAAGTTCCCTCACCTTCAGAGCCTTCAGTTAGAGGTGTTTGGCCCCTGGAAAGATTGAACGTGCCATTGTCTGTACAGGAGACCTCTGCATCCGAGTGCTCAGAGTCTGTGATGGCCAGTTCCCTGGCAACAGTAGAATCATCGAGCTTAGGAAAAGACAGACAGACCAACAAGCCTGAGGAGATGATGTCATTAGGAACCAGGTGCAGCTTTAGTAATCAGCTAGCTCTGAAGGCTGCCCCCAGACCATCGGTGTAACCAGGTGGGCATGGGGACTCAGTCAAAATCTTGACTCCTTTTAGACTGCTCCCCTAAGGAAACACCTGTATTCATCCTTCCTAGAGCACAGGAAGGAAAGCAGTCTGGGAATCAACTAGCCACTTTCTCTTAAGCAAATAATTGGTCCAAGGAATACTCTTCACAAGTGGCCAGGATACACACCCTGCCCGGACCTAAGGGGGGCCTGTGCTATCTGAAAGATGACCACACCAGCTCCAAAGGTTTTACCATTATGTTGGGGTTAAAAGGAGGCATGGAAAAAAGTGTGTCGATCACCAGACTCAAATTAAGATCTAGGTACAAAGTTCCAATAGAACACCAGTTTCTCTCCCTGTTAGTGCTCTTGGGGCCAAGGGGTGTCTAGGGCCTTGAAGAGCCCATCCATCATGAGTTTGAAACCTGGTTACTGCCGAAATGTGAGGTGCCAGATAGTTCACAGGGAGCTAAAGTAGACTGACCAGTGAACAGCTCCCCCACCAAGATACCTGAGGACAGAAGGCGGCAAGCTCCTCTTCGCTGTCACTCTGGTTGTCCACTGCACGTTCTGGGTGCAGGGCTCTGCGGCGCACTAGTGGAAAAAAGAGAAGAGGTGACACCTTCTCTGGGAAGCACTGGGGGACTCCCTTTGAACGTCAGAAAACTAGAAGAGGAAGCCCCACTCTCAATATGGCCCTAAGCCTACTTAACAATGCCTGAGGGTGGGCTGGCCTGCTGAGGTAAAGTGCCAAAGTGAGCTGGTAACAGGAGAGAAAGATTTCTCTTCCAGCACCCCTCCCTCCACCAACCCCCACACATTTTTGTTCTGGTCAGCTGATCAACTACCAAGCTCGTCAACAACTCTCTGAGATCTGCTAAGGGCAGGCCCGGTCATCTGGGAAGTGAACCCTAGCAAAGGGAGGTGCCCCACCTTGGTTAAATCAGGCTTTTGAGGGCTGACACTATTCAACTGGCTGACCCAGGGGAAGCTGGGTCTTGGTGACCACATGCAGGTCTCTTCGAAGCCCGGGCCTTAATGAAACACCCAACCTGACAAGACCACAGAAGAGAGGAACAAGTTCGCACCACTGTCCTTCGTGTGTTGGATGACACTCAGACTAGGACACTTCTGGTCTCTGAGCTAGCAATTTTTAATCACCTTTGGATTAAAGGTGCCTAGTACAGGGCTCTCTATAGAGTGCAAACCCAGCAGTGTAGTCAGCTGCAAATGGGGCTCATGGAGCCATAAATGAGGCAAAACGTCAAAATCCCTCAGAATTGGAAGGCAGCTTTCAGCATGAAGAGAGGCCAACCTTAGAAAATAGAAAGACTGGCTCTGCCATTTACTAACTATGAGCCTCAATTCCCTCAACTGTAGAAAGCGGATAGTACCACCCACTTCCCAGGCGTGTTGTAAACATATAAATGAGACAATGGGTGGTGAGTGGCCAGCTCTGTGCTGGGAAGGTAGCAAGGGCTAGGAACTCCTTACTATCAGCCTTTTATTGAACGTGGAGAACTTTTCTCAGATTTGCTTAAAGTGAAAATCTAGAATTCCGAATCGGAAAAATCGGTATGACTGCATAGGTTTCCCTGGAACAGAGCATTGCTTTCCACTACGACCCTCCACCTTGCACTGACCCCCCCCCCCACCTTCTCCTACTTTCAAGAATCTACCCCCTATGTCAGACATACAGCTTCTCCTTCTTCCCCCAAATTACTGGAAGTCAGGCTCCCCATGCCACTCACATTGCCTTTCTCTCTGCTTGGACATCATGTAGCCGCGGACGCTGAAGTCCAGCCGCTGAAGAGCTGGCTTCAGCCGCACATATGCTCGATCCCACAGGTGGTGGTACACAGCAAGGGGCCACATCATGACAGTGACAACTGAGAGGAGAGTGAGAAACAGTGGCAAAATGGAGAAGGGGTTGCGTGAAGCAGTCCTAACTGTCCCACTGCTGTGTGTCCTTAGGACTTGGACACTTAGTGTAGAAGATCTCAGCTTCATTCGCTTCCCCACTCTCCCCTACTACACTAGGAGGGTGCTGAGGGCAGGGACTTCTGCAGCCACCCATGGGGCCTAGTACAGGGCTCTCTATAGAGTGCAAACCCAGCAGTGTAGTCAGCTGTAAATGGGGCTCATGGAGCCATAAATGAGGCAAAACGGTCAAAATCCCTCAGAAAAACCACACAGTGCTGCTCCATCACTGGTACTCAGTTCTATCCAGCCCCTACCAAGCACTGCACTTGCCAACAGGAAGTTGTTGTTGTTGTTATGTGCCGTCGAGTCGGCCCCGACTCATAGCGACCCCTCCTTGGGTTTCCGAGGCAGTATCACTACGGAAGTAGGATTGCCCAACCTTCCTTCCAAGGAGTGGCTGGTGGGTTTGAACCGTCAGCCTTCTGGTTAGCAGGCAAGTGTCTTAGCCACTATGCTACCAGAGCTCCTCCAACAGGAAGTAGCTAACTATATAATATATACATTTTTTTGAGGGGGGAGAGTGCTCCAGAGGAAAACAGAACCTAGTAGCCCTAATGCCACCCATTGACATCAAGTGGACTCTGACCCATAGTGACCCTCCAAGACAGAGCAGACCTGCTCCATAGGGTTTCCAAGGTTGTAAATCTTTACAGAAGCAGACTGCCTCATCTTTGTCCCATGGAGCAGCTGGTGGGTTTGAATGGCCAACCTTTTGGTCAGCAGCCAAATGCCTTAGCCACTGTACCACCATAGCTCCTTGAACCTAGTAAATTATCCCCTAAAAGTTCTGTTCTGTTGTTAAATACACTGATTCTAAAAATTCCCTCCTTAAATAGGGGCAGCCAGTCCTTTACAGTTGGCAATACAGTACATGCTAGTGGAGCCTCACCGATTTCTAAAACAACTCCCTAAAAAAAGGATTTTATATGTGGGAAGCCATTTTGTGGCATTAAATGGGCCATAAAAATATTATAAAAAGGTCATTTACTGGAGAACCAAAATATAAAAGCTCTCTCCCTAGATGTAGTTAGCTGTGGTTGGAAGAGCTACGGGGAGGGGTATGCTCACAGGGGGAAGTACATGCCGTACTTACACATTAAGTAAGATAACAGGAGCCCAGGGATGTAGCCGCCCAAGACGGCCAAAAAGGTCAGTATGCCACAGCTCAGCAAGCAGAACTGGGGGAATCAGGAAACAATGTTTAGTTTCTGCCACATGACAGGGACCAGGGGTGGGGATGGGGGGTTAGGTGGAGATCTAATTAAAATGATTCTTTAAGATTTGACTCAAATGTGGACATGGTACAATGACACAAGTAGCCATTTCAGCATCCAGTGTTGATTGGGGGAGCAGGGAACAGAGGATGTCCATTTCTATTCAAACTCCTTTTATGTGGTTAACCTCGTGGGGCTTCACCTTTCATGCTGGGAAACCAGTTTGAATAGGACTTAGCCAAAAATTCTCCCCAAAAGCAGGTGTTGGTAGTGGGTTTTTGTTTTTTTTTTTAAACTCAAAAGTAAAAAAAAAAATCCAACTAAAAAACCAGCAACCTACCACCACATGTTCAATATTGACAATGCACACAGCAAGCTTTCTTTCCCATCCTGGGGCAGAAAGATGGCCTCATCTAGTGGCAATCACACCAAACAAGGAGTCATCAAGCTCTTGCTTTAGTCCTAATGGCTGGTCAGAAGCCCCCTCCTACAGCTTCCCTTTGTTGCTACAAACACTGCAGCCTTTTCTTTCTCAAAGGAGGACATGTCATAAGGGGCTGTTTCAGTTTGGCACGACTGAACTGAGAGGCTAGAGATGAAAGTGGAAAAGGGAAGAGTCTTACCTTGCCTGGGTTTTGCTTTTTGAAAAGCAAAAGCTTCCTTATGAAAATGGTCCCACTAACCCAGACTTCAGCTACATGGTGGCAGAGCTCGGGCACGCTGAGCAACCGAGGGTGCACAAAGCCCCAGCTATGGGAGAGAGAAGGGGGAGCTGTGAAAGGAGGGTGTTGAGGGCCCCCCATCTTGCTGTGGAGCCAGCTAGTGCTTCCAGGGAGAAAAGGGGGCTGGGATGTTCCAGGTGCTCTGAGGTGAAGCACGACTTTCTTCTTGGCTCACCAGGTTGAAACTTGAATTTAGGGACTAGGAGGACAAACTTGTTCTGACAGCTCCACCCAATGAGCAAGCACCCTGATCCACGTGTGTAAACCTGCTACCAGCTCTAGGCCCTCTGTGCTTAGAGTCATCCTCTTCTCTGTACCGAGACTACTGTAGTTCACTGTGACTGCAGTCCAGAGATGAAAGTCAATACAGTCTGACACCCCTGCTGCTAAGGGGGAGGAGGCAATGGTGGATGTGTCCCTCAGAGAGAAAATAAAAATAAACCACAGCAGAGAAAATGCCTTGCATTAAACCTATGGGGTGAATGAACTGAGACATGAAAGCAGGAGCTGTAAGACACAGAGGAATCTTTGGCTTGCTGATGCCAGGAACCCATGTGTTTTCTAACCAGGAACTTGAAATAGCCAGAGGTCACAGAAAACACTAAATGACCTGGTATTAAAGCCAGGAAACAAACAAAGGTGGTTGCCTCTGTTTTCACACTGCCACAGTATGTTGAGTTATGCAACACAGTAATACTTTTTCAGAAACTTGTCCTATAAAGATCAAAGGACAACAGCCAACTCACCATACAGTGGCCTGAACTTTAGGATTTGTTTCTTTGGAACAGACCAGGCCTAAAGTTCTCAGCTTACACTGTGTGTCCAGAACATGGGGTTAACAACACGTCACCAGCATATTACAACAAAAGAATCATTCAGAGCCACAACAAGGGATTTAATTAGTGTTCCATACCTTTCATTGTCTAATGCGTCGGGTCTTGGCACTACAATATTAAAACAAACACCAGCATTAGTTGGTTGGGAAAACAAAAATGATATGTTAGGCAGCTGGTTTGACAGCTCAAGTTTTAATAGGTTTTGGGAAAAGAAAACAGTAGTAGCCAACACAAAGGAGACACCACATTATATTATTAAAAGTTAGAGAGCTGTAAACAAGGGAATGATGGCTTATGCCTGCTCATTTCTCAGAAGAGGGGTCTGAACGAACCATTATGCTCCTGAAAACCAAAGTGTACAAGAAGGAAAAATGGTCCATGCCACCTCTTGAGTGTGTCTGGGCTTGTGGTAGTTCAGTTTGTGTGTTAACTTGGCTGGGCCTGATTGAATGGCTGGGCAGCTGGATGTAGAATTCCCTATGATGAGACTGGTAATCAACTCCATGGTGGGATCTACTGTGAGCAGCTAAGTAGCTGCCTTAGGGAATGTGGTCTGCTTCCTGTATATAAGCAGAAGCCTTGGAAAATGGTCTCTAGCTTACGGCACGCTTGGACCCTGCATGTAACTGTGTCATTCAGCAGCCTGCCATGCTCTGCCAACCTTGGGACTTACAATGGATTTGAATTAATGGCCTGCCATATGGTTTGGTAACACCAGGACTGTGCCTTTTTACTTCAGGACTGTGCCTTTTTACTTGTCAACCTGGGCTTGTTAGCCTCAGCAGCCAGTAGCTGTCTGAGTGAAGAGATGCTGCTAGCTCCACAGGGCCAGGAGCAAGAGGCAGAGCTGAAGCCCAAGGTCAAGGGGCTTTGACCCAGCCCCTAGAGCCTCATACTTTGAACTTGGACTTAAAGCCTCCAAACTGTAAGAGAATAAACTCTTGTTTGTTAAGGCCATCCCATTTGTGGTATATTCTTGTCAGAGCAGCACTAGGTAACCAGAACAGGGCTGCTCGTACATGTCAGTGTGTGCCAGGCTACCAGGGCATGTTGTAACCACTCCAACTCTAAAAATCTGCCTGCTCTTTTGAAAAGACCCATTATCTACCATGAATGATGTAGTCTTTTGACATCCACCAGTCATAAGATAGGCTGGGAAACTATATGGTTCCTTGAAATCCCTGTACAAAACAGGATGGGAAGGCATTCAAAAGCTGTACACTCTGGTTTGAGTATCTTGCCAACACTTCAAAATTAACGTGTCTAAAATCTACATCGATCTTCTTCCTTCACTTCTACCCAAACCAAATCTGACTTTGCCTACTCCTGCTAATTGTAATGCCCTTTTCCTGCTATCTTTGCTTTGAGGTCTCAAAGTCAGCTTTTATTCCTTACTCTTCTAACCCCATATCCAACTATTCATCAGCTTGATGTGTCTTCCTTTCCCACAGCTCTCCAAGCCATCTATCTTTTGTTTCTAGGGACACTTCTTTGTCTACTTCTCACACACACACTGCCCTAGACTCTTGATAGGACTCCCTCCTTTCACTTTTGCTCCTTCCATATGGTCCTGCAAATTGATGTCATGTTAATCCTTAAATTATCATCTCAGCATACAGCTCTAATTTAAAAAAGAAAAAAAAAAATCTTCCATGGCCACCTATGTCCTGTAGGATGAAGTCTGAACTTCCTCCCCTAACTTTAAGGCCTTATAAAAACCTAACTTCAACACACTTGTGGGGTTACTTCCTAGAACTCCCTCTGATGCACTGCAGCCACAGTCAGCTCCCTGCTCACAGAGAAGTGCTGCAGCTTCCAGCTCCTTAGCCCAATCAAGCTCCTGGCTCCTCTAGAAAAACTCACACTTCTCTCTCTGACTGTCGGAATCCTTCGCTTCTTGCATGGCTTGTGATAAGGCTCTAAGGAACTGCGAGCGTTTCTAGTGTATCCTAAAGCAAATGACTCAGACATCAAAAGGTACTCCCCAACTCCACACACCCCCTTAAAAGCTCCTAAAACTAAAAGTAGAAATTATAAGAAAGGCCATTGGCAGTTCAGATTATTCTAAATGCTACCACTCACCTTTTATTTCAGGCCAGATTTTGTTCTTCCACTGATCTATACACACAACAATCATCAAGCTGAATGCAAGTAAAAACACAAGACGAAGGGATGTCAGTGCAAAAAACCTATGAAGAAGGAAAACAAAGATTTTTATGTAATTAAGCTAATTTCAAAAAAGATTATATATGCACTAAAGGCTATATGATAAAAAGACTAGAGTTCTAGTTTTTTGTGGTTTTTTTTTTTTTGTCTGACACTCATTATATCACCTTTGGTAAATTGATCAAACTTTCTGGCTCTTGGCTGTTTTACCTATGTTGTTGTTGTTGTTGTTGTTGTTATGTGCCGTCGAGTCGGCCAGATATAATAATTTGCTTTCATAAAGACAGAGGACTAAAAAGACAGGCATATGAGTTGAACATTTACCTCAGGTAGATACACTCCTTGGAGAGAACAATCATGGGAGAAAGAAGGGCTGCTTATGCAAAGGGAGACAGTTCAGGGGGCAGGAGTGCATGGAGGGATGGACACTGGGAAGGGGTAACTATGGGGAGGAAGTGGGAGGGGAGCTGTTGCATTGTGGTAAACTGTGGTCAATGTCATGAGACAAAGCGTTATGTGAACTGCTGTATGGAAAGTGAATCTGCTCTGTAAATCTTCACCCAAATCAAAAAAAAAAAAAAAAAGAGGACTAAACCAAATAGTATCTTAAATCCCCTTTCAACTTTAAAGCTGTCATTCTATGACTTTGGAGAAATTCATCCTTGATAAGTTGTTATGATGAAAGCAAGTATCTTTCTACCAAATCAGACCCTAGTGTAAGGCAGCAAACTGACAGAGCTACAGCAGCGAGCACTCAATCAGAGATCCTTTTAGCAACTGAGCCCCAGTAAAGTAAAATGACTTGATCAGGTTCACACAGAAAGTTAGTATTGAAGCTATATCTAAAAGCTCGTTCTTGGTATTCAAAGAAGCAACCATAAAAAGACACTGATGAACAGTTGGGGAAATCTAAACACTGACGGCACATCTGATGATATTAAGGAATAGTCCATTTTTTTAAAGCGTGGTAACGTTATGGCAGTTATGTTTTTAAAGATCTCTATATGCGTTATGCATGCTAAAATATTTATGGATGAAGTGACGTCTGAGATTTGCTTTGAAATAAAAGTCTGGCAAGGGAAAATGAAAACGGATGAGAAGATTAACCATGATCCTCACTAAATTTGGTAATTACTGAAGCTGGGTGATGGGTACGTCAGATTCTTTATACAATTCTACTTTTGTATATGTTTAATATCATTTATAATAGAATGTAACAAACTAATTCTTATGGCTCTTCCTATTACCCTAAAGCTTCGGAGGCAGTGTGCCTTGAAGAGAGAGTGGTCTGTAGACTAGTGCTGGCCCCAAGCCCTGATCATACCAGTCTATGGGGAGGGAAGTACAAAAACAGAAAGTAAGCATTTAGAGATTTTTATAGCAATATGAGTAATTTTGAATCTAATAATACAGTTCGACTTGCATTTTCTGTCTTTTTTAGTTTGACTTTTCTAATAACTTGCTTATATTGTACTTTACAAAAGTACTGGTTTGCAACAGAATGGAAAAAAATAAACAGAACTAGTCTTCCACTAGGAGCTCTGGTAGTATAATGGTTAAGGCATTTGGCTGCTAACCAAAAGGTCGGTGGTTCAGGATTAAACACTAGCGGCACTGTGGAAGAAAGATTGAGGCACAGTCTGCTTCCTAATGATTCACAGCCTTGGAAACCCAATGGGGGTCTCTATGAGTTGCAGTCACCTCCACGGCAGTGAGTTTGGGTTTTTTGGAGTCTTCTGCCACAGATGGTCTGAGAAGCACTGTCCTAAGATCTAGAAGGAAGCCACAGGCATCACCAAGAGGTGACACAGCGGGGCTTTTCAAATTAGACTGGCCTGAGTTTAATCCTTAACATGCATTTATTAGTCATGTGACCTTGAATAACTTCTTTAAAGAGCTTACCCTCTTTAAACCTGAGTTTCTGAATCCACAATGTGATGTTAACAATAACAAATCTTGCAGTGTTGTATGTGGGTATTAGAAACAACATACTTAATCACCTATAGTGTATCACACGTGATCTTGGCCAAAAAGCCAAGCAGAAAGTGCAGAGCACCTGATACATACCTAGCACAGAGTTCTACTCAGTTTTACAGTGTAGAAGTGTTACTAACTATTGTCACAGCAACTGACCAAATGAGACTAAGAATGATCAAGGGTTGATTGTCAACGATCACTCTGGACTGACCACTTCTCAACTCCACGCTTGACCTAATGATTTGATAAAACCACCGAGCAACACTAAGAGAATAATCCCTCTTACATTTGAAAAAACGAACCAAACCTTAGTATCCGTGTGTATATACGAACACCCATACGTACACAGGGACTGGCAGCAGGGCTCGGAATTCACCTCAGTTGCATAACTTTCTAAAGTAGTATTTTTAAAAAAAGAATACAAAGAATTAGGCATGGAAGGAAACAAAGAGAACTTAGGAATCCAGTCACCAAGGACTCCTGGTCCAATTTTTCCACCTTACCACTACAAGGAGCCTGTAATTACATGTGATTAAAGAATGAAAGCTGCTTAACAAAAATAACCCTCTAGAGCTCCCCAGGCCATTATCTTCTCTCTAAACCTAGTCCATCATCCCAATGGACAGATTTCACAAGGCCAAGGTAAGGCCGCTGCAGCATGGTGCTCTGGGTGCTCCTGCTTCCACCTATGTCCCAGAGCAGCCATGGCGCGACAGCTGTTTCCTCCAGTGAGCTTAAAGGACTCTCTAGAGAGGCGATCCAGACGGCCTGCAGTCTCCTTCCCCAAAGCACTCAGACTAGCCCAGATACATGGCGGCGGCGGGAGGGGCAGGACAGTAAGGTCTCTGAAGAAAGGTTTGTTTTCCAAAATTAACGGCAGTGAAAATACTGTTTCTCCACAACCTGACAATTTTAGAGTAACATCCCTCACTCTCTGCTCACATCTGTGCTTCCACTCAGTTCGACAAAGTTACTGAGTAGCTATTATAGGCAGAGGCCTTGTGCTAAGCCGCCCAGTTTCAGGAAAGTGTAAGACAAAGACCTTACTCTCAAGTGTATTTATCTGTATGTTTGTGTGTGTGTGTTTAACATGACAAGGTGATAATGACAAAGAAGAGGCAATGTAAACTGGGATTTGAAAGATAAAAGTAAGAAAATGGCAAAAAGGTGAGGGGAAGACGGAGAGGACATTCAGGTAGGGAGAGAAGGGAGTTAGTGTGTTATTTTCAGGAACTGCACATAGGTTGATAGAACTGAAAAGTAAAGAACAGAGGCAGGGGATGAGGCTGAGGAAAGAGGCAGGAGTTGGATCCTGAAGGGCTTTTTCTGACACTGGGTACTAGACTTCATCCTACCGAGAAGGTGAGCTGCTAGAGTCTTAAGAAGGACATATTTCTGAGGCATGAAGGCTAACACTGTGAGCATCTTCTACAGCAAGATCACCTTGGTCTCTGAATCAATTTCAGGCTCATATGTAAGTGGCTGCTACTTAGCATCCTTTTCTTGAATAAGCTGTTGCAGGAACATCAAAAGAGGTTTTTCTGTGTGTGGTATAAAGTAGCATTTCTTGGGAAAAAGGCTCCTTCCAAATAGATAAAAACTTAATTAATGGAAGGATCACCTTGGAGCACTAGAGTTGACTCCTCCAAGGTATCTAAACCATCAATTTCAATATTCCCTTAGGAATTAATAAACTATAAAGAAGATTCCTCCCTTCCTTCCAGCTCTCAATACTAAATTCCTTTAAAAAAATAAAGGAGTGGGGGGTTTCAACTGGTATGTTTTAGACAGACTGAGGTCACATCATACTTGTCATTTTATGGAAGTGATCTGGAAGCCCACCTGTAAAAAAAAAAAAAAAAAAAATTCTGCCCCTATGTGCAAGGATAAGACATAAATGTGAAGATCTAGTACTTCTGAGATGGTAAAGAATGGAAGTAAGGGAAAATTCCTGTGGATTAGTTTAGTTCTGCAATGTCTATTCAAGCTAGCCAGGAAATACACAGGCAGAGACAACAGCGTAGAAGTCTGATAACACAACATGCAAGACGTTTTTCAGCAACTATGGTCAGCATGAGAATTTTCCAACTTAACAAAAACAATTACAAATCCAGTCAACTCTGGATATGCACACAAAAACTTATTAAACTGGGGCACTGGCACAGCCCACTGCTCCTCCCATCCACAGCAAGCTCAGGGTCTATTTTCCCCTTAATGATCTTTATTTATTTTGCTTGTAAAGGCAAGTATGTGTATTGGAGAAACTTTGTTGCTGTTGTTGTTATGTGCAGTCAAGTCCAACCGACTCATAGCGACCCCTCCTTGGGTTTCCGAGACAGTATCACTATGGAAGTAGATTGCCCCATCTTCCTTCCGAGGAGTGGCTGGTGGGTTTGAACCGCAAGCCTTCTTGTTGGCAGTCAAGTGCCTTAGGCACTACGCTACCAGAGCTCCCGGAGAAAGTTTAGAAAATATAAATACTAATAAAAGAAATAAATAAAAATGACATTAGTACACCATTATCTATGAAATGAGCTCCCTAAGTGGTACAAAAGGGTTGAAAAGAGCTCCTAGCCGAAAGACGAGCAGCTTGAACCCACCCAAAGGAACCTTGAAAGAAAACACTGGCAACCTTCTTCTGAAAGGTCATAGCTATTGAAAGCCGTATGTGCACTTCTAATCTGAAACATGGGGAGTCACCACGAATGGGAAGAGACTCCACAACTGTTCTTTAAAAAAAACAACTATGGAATAATCTTGCCAAAAAAAAAGTTTTGTTTTGTTTTTTAACCTGAATCTGACCAAGCCTCCAGATCCAACTACCAATTTACAGTAAATAGAGGATAGGTGAACATGTTAAGCCACGGGCCACAATCAGCAAAATCCAGTCTATGGGAAACGTCACAGGACAAACCAGTTCCTTCAACAAATAAAATGCAAGGGGGACAAAAGGCAAAGAGGAATGTATAGGGTAAAAGATATGTGGAAAAACAGCACAATTCACTGCAATAAGTGGACTTCATTGGATCCTGTTCCAAATAAACTG